AGTTGAATTTCACCCCAAGAAATCTCGAGATAGTACCTTAACACGTAACTTAATAATATATCGTCGACGATGATTAACGATAATTAACGTGTTAAACAAGATTTAACACCGGGTTTGTCGTGAGATCGATCGTACACGTACACGCCGATTACGTCCCGGAAGAATAGCTCGCATCGCATTTATACGCAAATTGTGCGCGTGACTCCCCGGAATAAAGCGCGCACGGAATAAGACGGACCCGCCGAATTTATTTCGCGAGTCCTGCGCGAATTTATATGGAAATGCGGGAGCGTCGTCTTCGTTCGGAGGATTTTATCCTAAACGAACGACTTTGGGTCAACTCGATTCCGATTGCCAACGATTCCATCGATTCCCGATCGCTGTTTAAACACCCTCGAGCTCGCTCACACACACACACACACTTTCTTTCTCGCGTGCGCGACACGCGAGCGCGGTGATTTATCACGAAAGCCGTGTTAGTGAAGCTGTAAAAATAGCATCGGCGGTTAGGCCCCCCCCTCCCCCCCCCCCTCGTGAGAAGGGAAGGCAGAGGGGCAAAAACGCAGCCTGCACTCTCTGCTGACGGTCTACCACACAGCGGAGGTAGCTACCTTTCATTGGATCAAGGCAGGTTTCCTGTGGTTCATGTTAAAGAATCGGAACTGTAGCCGCAGCGTTAGATCTTTCCGTACTGTTGGGAAAGAATAGGTGTCGTAAGTACATATCGCAGCTTGAGACTCGTGGAGTCTGTCGTCGTGTGATGGTGAATGTTCGCGACCGAGGAGAGCTTTTCGCCGCGGTGACGACCTTCGACCGGCGAGACCGGCTGCCTTTCGTCGACTCGCGGATTCCTCCACCGAACGTTTCAGCCTGGATCTACGATAGCTGTGATAAGCCTTCAGCTCTAAAGCGATAAAATGCAACGTAACGTTCTGGCAAAAGGCGTTTCTCGTGTTGCCAAAAGTTGTAATGACGCTTAAATCTTAGGAATCGCGATGTGTGGTAGCGCCGGAAACACTTTTTGTTACGGAAATTACGTCGCAATTTGGAGCAAAAGTCTTACTGCATCTATTGCAGACCCTCGGACTTAACTCTTCGCACTTCGGTGTTACTTTCTCTTTTTCCAGCCGATCCGCGGAAACTCAGTCACTTCCGGACGGTGTCGCGCAGTTTACTTCAATACTTCAGTGTCCAACTAACATGACGATATACTGATTGTAATATATTTACACCAAGCTCAGTATTATTAATAATATGTATATAATCCTATTAATAATTACATATCAATAATCGTATTAATACAATCACATTAATAGTACATATGGTCAAGTAATATCACGAGTAAAATAAAAATATTATCAATAATACACGGAGAAGATATTGTAGTAAAAATTACCACAAGAATTTATAATGCTGGATTATATCGGAATTATTATTGAAATTACTGTGTGTATTGTAATCTGCATTACATATCATGTAAATATCATTACAACACACAATAATTTCGATAATATTTCTGATTTAATGCAGCATTGCAAACTTTTGTGATGATTTTTACTACAATATTTTCTCCGTATAACGTGTGAAAGAAAATCGGCTGAAACGAGACGCGACGTCGAGTTAGACTCGATTTTTCCGGTGCGAGAGTGCGAAGGGTGAAGTCAGAGCCGGAACGTCGCTTTTAATTATATTGATTTTCATCTCCTCGTCTATGTTAAATATCGGAAAATTCCAGCCCCGAGCTGTATTCGCTGCTATCGGTCTCGTGAGCCGAGGTGGACCGTTGCGACTCGACATGGCGATCGCCACCGCCTGTCAAAGGGGACCTGAACGTGTCGTGTACGGACACCTACACGTGGAGCATCGGAAAACTCGAACGAAACGCGATGTAGGGAGCCCGGTGGCTCTTTGCTCCTGCCTGTCTGTAAAATAGTTGCAATGAGGAACACTGGGCCACACACCCTATCGTCCATCCGTACGTCGCGTGTGGCAGTATTCGAGTGTTAGAACTGAGAAAGCCGAACGTAAGGGGGAAGAAAGTGCGGGAGAACAGAACGAAACGGAAGAAAACAGAGAGAAAAGCCGATGCCAACGATGCAAAATCAAAACGTGCGGCGAAATTCGAGAAGCGTTGCGTTAGTCACACGTGCCGTTTAATCGCGCGATCCTGTCTCGAGACTCGCGGCGTACAAGATCCGTAGCATTCTCTTAGTCACGAAACGGATGGGATAGGTGACCGTTGTGTTACGATTCTCCTCGAGTACAAGTCTCCGGCAAAATGCACATAAAACGCAAGACTGCAAACAGGTCGTTCCTGATGATCAATCGGATGCTGAGACCGGCAAGACACATTATCACGGTGCCTGCTCTCTAAATTTCTTCGAGCGAAGTCTCATTCAAAACGAGCGAAAAGTGGCGGTATCTTCACTCGAAGCGTAAGCGTAGTGGAAATACCGCCACTCGAAGTCGCAAGAGTGAATGTTCCACTCGAACTTACAGTGGTAAGTTCCTCTCTCACTTCACACAAGTGAATGTTTCAATTGATGAGTGAATTTGTAAAATACGTCAAATTCACTCTTCAGTTTGGAGTGAAAATATTCGCTCGACGACTCAGAATGAAGAATTCGTTCTAAACGAGTGAAGAATCGCTCGAATTCGAGTGACTCGGTGGAGTCACTCCGATTTTCGAGTGAGGTTTCATCCCGGGGAATTCAGAGAGCACAGATACATACTCGGACTCGTTAATGATCGCCTTTGCACTCAAATAATCGGATATTGACATAAAATATCGATATTCCTCAATTAATTGATCGAAGCTACAAGTAATTACAGTAATATTGAAAGTATGAAAATTTATATGATAACGTTAAATATATTAATTACGGCGTGTTACGGCAATGTAAATTTTCCTCGACGAGTACATATTATAAATTTAATAAATAATAGTGAATAAATATGGAGCAACGCCGATTTCATTCTACGCGAGCTTCGGGAACTTTACACGGCCGCTCCGTGCGCGATTTAATCTCAATTGACTTGGATCGCGATAACGTTATCAGCGAGCGCGCGAGTGCAAAGGGTCAGTATCTAATTACTAAGAATAAGTAACCAAGTTGCACTTGGGGAAAGACGAGCTGGCTCTTAACAAGAAAGCTACTCACTGCGCCGCGGCAGCGCTACGCTCGGTTTTTTAAGTCATCTACGGGGAGAACGGCGAAGGTTCCAGCACCAGCACCGATTGCTACGATCTTAGCACGTTCCATCGGTTCCACACGGCAGACTAGCCAGATAAATGAGTCGATTAAAAAAAATCGCAATAATCTGAACTCGGTGTCGGATCGAGTTCTCGACAGAGACCGGACAGAATGAAGATAGGAATCGCGAAGCTCTTAACTTAATCATTTCTCGAATGTTAGAAGATCGCTACGAGAGATTACTACGCGACAAAGATCCACCGATCGCATCGGTCTCCGAGAAGTGGGTTCACTGATGCATGCCGTGATGGGAGAAGGTAAATAAACGACGAAAAAAAGATTCCCGAGAGATTTGAATTTCGATTTACGCAAACGAGTCCCGTGGTTTTTGTTTCAAAAATTATATCGATTCCGAAAGAACGACGAGATAAGCCGATTTGTTAATGTTACTCTATATACTCAGTGGCAAGCGATTTACTTTGTAAATTACTAGCACAACCGAAGCGCACCAATCGCACATTCCCGAAAGCGTCTTGAGTACTTCGTCTTGTTAAATAATCAAGAGTACAAAGAAGCTGCGCCGCTCGTCAACGTTGACCGCGCGCGTTTCATCGCGTTATTTATCGTTAATCTCTAGTTAAAAGCGAAAAGATACGAGAAAATCGGTCGACGATTACCGGCAATCCGCACCAAATTAAACTACCCTACAATCGCCGGCTCTGTTTCGCTGAAAATTGAAAACAGACGGATCATCAATCTGACAGTTGTGCCGCTTATGAACGTTTTTCTTTTTACACGTAATGCCCTTGGTAAAAGAATGATTGGGGAGAATAAAATCAATTTAGAGACAAATGATGAAAGAAATTGGATACTAAAGGAAGTAACGTAAACATAACACAAGATATCTAACGGGTTATCTGGAATATCATTTTCCGATTTGGGAGGCACAACTTTGTTATGATACCGAGTGTGAATCTGATGAGCATGTCAAACGATTTCTAAACTATAGAGGCTCAAGAAACACGGTCGGTATCGGAAACAACAGAGATTCTACTTCTGATTGCACAAAGGGGCGAGCCGGGGTCTCATAATTACCTCTTTATACGTCACTAGCTAGAAAAATGAATAAACTTAAACAGCGGAGATGAGTGGATGAATGATGAGATGTGTGCTAAATAAAGCGCTACGTGAGACTACGAAGCAGATTCGAAGGAGTTAGAAGCATTTCGTCACGTGGTCTCCATAGTCCCCCATACAATTGCTCCCATCTAAACGGCAAATTAATGGTACGATTATCGTTGTATGAAACACAATGGGCACTATCAACATAATGGAGCGTCTCGTTGGATCCTATCGGCTAACGCGATTCACGACACCTGTTCGAGATCGTTGCGCGCTGACCTGTGGAAAAGAGCGTCGCACTCACGACGCAAAGACTAGGAACATTAAGTTTAAGCTAAAGTTACTTTAATCTCCTAAGACACGTGTGAATAAACCTCTGAAAAGATATTCCCGCAGAAAGATGCTCTCCTTTGCGATTCGCACCAAAGCATTATTAAATTTCTTGCACCTTGAGGCTGTATGCACTCTTCACACTTGCAATTCGTAAAATAAACATGTGGAATCAAATGATTTTCTATGGGGACATCTTAAACTATTTTTTCTTTTCGCGTAGAAGACTTCTCATTCATGAAAACGACACACGACTTTCGTTCTACTGTATTATCGACCGTATATGCTCCGTGTCAGATTCTACGATACGCCGAAAGATCCTGTCAGTCACCGGGACGCGCTTCGTATACTCACTCCTATCAATATTGCGTTGCAGATGCGCAGCCACGCGATGTCTAGCGTCGTTGAACTCCAGGTGCAACCCGAGTCGCAGCAACGTCGGGTTTTGTTCCACCAACTGGGTGATCTCCATCTCGATTTTGTTACCCAACACTTGCGACCTCTGAAAGATCAAACGCCACGGGGTAAGATCTCCTTGTAACCTCGTCACGTTCAAGCGATACTTAACTCTAGAATGCAAACGTGCGAGACATAGGGATATTTCTTGCGAACCCTCCTCATTCCTCTTACCCCATCAACTTTCAATTTGTTTTATACGTTGGAAACATGTCGCGTTAAAAAGTTCTCTGAGTATTCTTTTTTATAACGACTTTTTTACACGTCTCTCTCCAAGATCCAGAGTAGACGGTTAGTATTTTAGAGATGAACTTTCGCACGACTCACCTGGTTCGAACATCGGAACTCCTCGATGGACTTCGTTTTGAGAAGGCCCCTGATGAGCCTCACTATCACAGCCGGGCTTATGAAGTTAGTCTCCACGCTAGGGTAAAATAACAAATTGAACGTTAAGACACGAAAAGAAGAGGGAATCGGCGGGATTTACGGGTATGCAAAATGTACGTACTTGAGTACTCTGAGCGTCGAATTCTTCTCTATAGCGTCTGCCAGCCGTTGTGCAGTCTTGTCGTTCAGTCCGACGTTAGTCAAACTCAGCGATTCGAGGTGCGTGTTCATCTCCAGACCCTCGAACAATTGTATGAACTTCTCGTCTGAGATATTCTGCAAAGAGACACGAATTAGCCACGAGTCGGTACGCTCTTGCCGGAGGCGATCGACGCGATACTCACTTTGATATTGTTCCAATTCAAGTCGGTCAGAGCCGAGTCGTCGTCGCGCACCTGTTTGATGGTGGCGTCGACGTCTGTGTCATTGGGCGGCTCCATGGGGTAGACTTTCGGTTGACTAGCCTTCGTCACGCCGTCCCAGCCGAGCCCGACCGGTTGTCCGGAGTTCAGTAAGGACGCGTGATACTGATCTTGATTCATCATGGAATGGAATCCAAGAATAGCTGCAACAACAAGGCGTTCGTGACGATCACACCGGCTTTTGTCCATCCGGACACAATGGACTATTCAGAGAACGATCAGACTCACCGGCAAGATCGATGATTTCTTCTTGGGTGGCTGCCGAGAGCGCTTGTTCGTACTCTTCCCCGAGATCTATCGCGATCTGTTCCTCCGCCTCCTTCTCTTTCGTGTTCTCTTGCGGCGGAGGCACCCACTGAAACGAGATTTTTGCAGGGCTCAGTATCGGACCATGCGATGAACGCTTGTGTCATTGTTCGAACAACATCAACCAACAGAGCAGAATGGCCTGACTCATAATTTTCAAATAACCTTTTGCGTACTAAATTTTTATCCAAATTATTATTTATTTACTTTCTTTATACTGTATAACATCATCGATCGCAAACAGAACGGTCTTTTAGTTTTAGGACTCGAGGCACTCGAGACAGTAGTTGTGCGTGACTTGAAGACAAAGACTCGAAGCATAAAAAATCGTCTCAAACCGATAAGACCGCCATTCTACTAAGATCCTTATTAATCCGAGCATAAATTCCGACTCACTTTTTTGCCTCTGACCACACCAGGTACGTATGGCTTCAACTCTGGGATATCAGGTGTCTCCATAGCCTGCTTGTTGATGTGCTCGATGAGCTTCTTCCGATTCAGCGGTCCTGTAGGACTCTTGTCACATTCATAACTGCAACGTTGCGAAGGTGGCATGAAGCTGTCCTGTGGGCGCGATTTTAGATTAGTTATCTCAGCATGACAAATAAGAAGAAAGAGGCAGACTCACGTCGGGATCCACTTCTTTGGCGAGTATGTTGATCTCCTCCGGTGTGAGTTGTGACAGTAACTCATCCACGTCGATGTCATCGTACTCGCTGAGATCCTTGCCGTATAACTTGGCCGCTGTCGTCATGGTGGTTGTCTTGGTGGACGAGGAAGTCTGCAAATCGTCCCATGGCCGTTGGTCAACTACCGAATGTTTCCTCGACATTTTCGCGAGAGATTCTACGACAGTGCACTGTCAAACCGTTCTACTCGACCGGTCGACTCGTTCGCTTCTAACAGACGTCCAGCCGTTGAGTGAAAAAAATTACGCAATCACAGAGACGCGCCTACAAATAGCGATTGCATCACCGTAAACAAAGGGAAGAGCTCGGGGGCGCTCGATCGACCACTCCGGCTAATTATCGTGGCGCCCGTCCGTCGTCGAATCAATTATTCAAAGGGGCGCATTGACCCGCGGTCGAAAGAGAGAGAGAGAAAAAGAGAGAGAGAGAGACCGAGAACGTCGATACGAGCGCGCCGGAAGGTGCTGCTGAACGCGACCGACTTCTCTTATCGCGGGGAAGGCGTTATCATGAAACGAATAAACGTCGCCGACGAGGCCAATCTCATTCGTCCGGGCGTGATCGACGGCTCGACTTTGGATTCGGCGAGCGTCCAACGCGCTGCGGCTGATGCCCTCTGACCCAGATAATTCGGGATCGATTTTCATTGACAACTCGTGTGCCAAATCGACGACGGTGGCAGAACGGCGGCGAGATCGTTGTTGGTCAACGCCGCCACCGTCGCCGCCACCGGACGCCCGCCCGAGCCTCGTTGGAACTTACTCGATGATAAACTGGACGCTCCGTCACGTCCAGCGAGGATGGACGCGTGCGTCACGCGGAAACGGCTGGATACGAGGATTAAAGGCCCGCGACGAACGCAGACTTTCCCGAGTCCCGTACGATCACCAACAACACCGTCGAACGCGCACGCTTCACTGACCAGCCCACCGCTAGGTAGCCGCTGATCGCGCGGCAGCGCCCTTTGACACTGGCGATTCGATGTCATGAAGGTCGAGTCGATAGTCGATAGTCGAGAGTCGATCCGCGACAGCCGCGCCCGCTCGTCGAGATGCGCGGGGATTTTTCGGAGATTCGCACACGTGGAAATCACACGAGGGTCCAGGTGAAATCGAGGACTCTCCTCCGCGGCGAGGCTCGCTGCGAATGTCGCGCGCGCGTTCGATCGCTCGGGGAACGGCACGCGACGCTGGAAGGTGTTACGACGAACGGAATATACACGGCCGTGCGGGAGGCGGGAAATTCGAAACGGCGATAGAGTTTCTTGAATATGGGATCTTGGATTTTCGAGGAAAATATCGTCGATAGCTTTCATTTATTTCTAGGAGTTTTTCTATTTATTAAATCTGTTCTTTCTCGCTAGCTGCATTGACTCGTATTAGTTTTTCTCTTCGCTTTCTCTCACCAAGCCTTAACTGTATATCTGTCTCTTTTTAAGTTCTATAAATATACGCTAATTCGGCAAAAAAGAACAAACCTATTATAAGGTAAGCTGTAACGTGTAGTGATTGTGAACAAATGTATGGCCGGGGAAGGAAAAATGTATGATGATTATATATAATTATATTACATTGTATTGTAATATCCAAATCAAAAACGATAATCGCTCAATAGTTGTTTCTTGAACTATTAATTTGAATAGAGATTTTCTCACACATTCGACATTTATTTCTTACATATATCTGCTATAAACAGAGGTAAGAATATATTATTACTCAAATTTATTGTAAATTTATAATGTAATTATGATTCAAATTTATTGAAACCGAAATAAGAAAGAACAAATGTACAGACACTGTAAAATAGAAAAACCACATTGCAACTTTTCTATCAATTCTTAGATCAATTAATGTTTTCAAATTTTTGTCACTCTGCAGAAAATATGATTGGTTAGTTGATTGGTTCTTTCCGCGCGTAGATGGTACTCGAAGTGACGGCATCGATTAGTTCCGCGATTTTGCTTCAAAGTAGTCCGGAGCTAATGAAAAATCTGTCATGCACGCAAACATGTGGCGAAAAAACGGAAAATATTTACCATAATCGAGAACGGATCGTGCAGAACGTTGACAATGTATCTCGGACGATGCTCGAAGATGCGTTTTCTCTCGGCAAACGACGAGTTACGATAAAACTAAAAACTCCGATAACAAGTTCATTTATAAAAGGTTCGGTCATTATCGGATTATCGCGGAAACAAACAGATAAACAATGCGACTGCGATGAGATCTTATCTCGATGCGTCAGATGTAGCACACGTTCCCCGTGAAATACAGTGATATCTGTTCGGTCACATGGCTGAACGTCCGACGATTTCCAAGTAGGATTCTCGGATAGTCGGATTCTCGAGTGTTTTCTCGAATCTTTTCCCGCGAATATTTCCGATCGTTCATCGCCACGTGTAATATCGACATTACACGTGGACATTATGCGTGGAATCAAGTCGTCCTCGGTTTGCGAAGCCTCTCGCTCCTTCTATATACGCAAAGGTCTCCCGCGCAATTACCCTTTCCGCTAAATTACTCCGAGCATCTTCGGAACGCCGCTCGCTCTCTCCGCAGCCGTAATCGCGTGATTGCGTTAGAGATTATTATAGTGATGACGACGTGATGGTTAAGCGAGATATTTATTTATTTATTTATTTATGCAACATTTGTTCATGTGCTCGTGTATATGTTAATTTATTCCCGTTTGTGAATTTATCTGTTTCTCGACGTCGTTTTTCATTTCCGTCCTTGCGCTTTCTTATTTTACTTTCTCTTTATTGTGACATTTTCCTGATCTTTCTTATGTATGCACAGAAAAAAGCATTAAAATTAAGCGTAACCTGTTTTTCAGCCTCTTAAATCATATTTTTATCAATTTTAATAGTAAATATTTATTTGAAGTATTATTTGTACGCAATAATACTTTAATTTGTAAATTTAGTACTCAGTGAAAGTATAAAATGGTTCCAAATTTAAAAGAGTATTTACTTGAATTATATAATACTTCTTTTCTATTGAAGATACCTAGTGGTTTTAAATTTCGATTATTTTGACTGGTAAATATTTTCTAAAAAATAAATTCTGACATTCTCAATATTATGAATTTAATAATTGTTAAAATCGTTTCAACATATACAAATAAATGTCTATTTATACGAAGAAAATATCATATTGCACGGAGTCAATTATATCCTACTTCTAATCAATATTTGTCGCGGAATTTAGAATTAAACCTTTTTACTTCATCAAGTAAATATTATTAGAACAATAGCACTTTTTTTCAGTGTGTTCTTATTTCTTTCCTGTAAGATTGCCTTCCTCTTTTCCCGTTAATAAATTATTAGTATTATTATTATTATACACAGCTATGTAAAACGGGCTCGAGTTATCCAACGATGTGTGACCGCACCTCTTACTTTTGTTTCTCCGTACCTTTTACTCTTATTTCTCGAACGTAAAGTGCGTTGGAGATCAAGAAGAATCGGTCAACTTGGTTCTTCACGGAGTGATGCGTCAACTTAGACCGCGACATTCCAGCGTCGCCGGCGATCTATCTGTCGCCTCCACAATGGCGTCGCTCAAGATTCACCGTCCCCATCGCTTGTCATTTATTCATGCACCCCGCCAGTAGACTCCTCGCGTTACTCGGTAAAATTTTCCTCACGCGCCCACACGCGTCCAGCAATCCGCAGGATCGTGTGTCACCGGCATGGCGATCGAGCTCTCGGAGTCCTCGTTTCTCGGCTGCGACCGTGAAACCGCCGCGTGACTTCAAGTTGCCAAAACCGGCAATTCTCCTCTCCCTTCCCGCCTGCATCGACATCATCATCTGATCTCTCGCTACTCCCTCCCCTCCTCCTCCTGCGATCATCACGTAATCCGCGGAGTCTCGCATTGACATAATCGACCTGACAGCTCAGCAACGCTCAAGGTCACAGCGAGAGGAAGAGGGGCTGTGATATCGAAAAGCGGAGGAAGAGTGCGGAGGTGGCGGCGGACTCGCGATATACGCGACGTTGTTGTCCGTCTCGAAGAAGACAGCGGGGCCATCCTCCGTCGACAGTCGCGATCGGAGTGTTGTAGCGCGCTAGTAGCAGCGCGACAGCCCTACAAAAATAGCTGAGGCCTCCTCGCAGGCTGGCACACTCCCAACGGGCTATACTTGGACATACCCGCGCACGCGATTATTTATAGTGAGCGAGAGAGCGCGGCCACTGGCCTTCTTACGAACTAACCAACCGGCACCGAGAAGACATCCCGCCGCCCGTGACCTAGGCCCGCATTAATAACGGCTCCACCCTTGCGACCACGAGGAACTTAGCACTTTGCACTCGCCGAACGTCGCCGCTTCAACACCTCCTCGGCTCCCCCTTTCTCCCTCTTTCTCCGCTCGCTTCTTCTTGCAATTTATGACGATTTGGAATGTCGCCTCGTACGAGTCCTTCAGCACCTTCGTCGTCTTTCTCTCCTATAATTATCCTTTCTCATTTTCCCCCTCTTGATATTTTTTCTTCCCACGTGAGATATGATATACTTTGGATTTTTCGCCACCTAGCGAGATCCTCGGCTCCTTGTGAGATTTATGATTCATCGTCTGAACTTTAAATTAAGATTCTCACATTTCCGCAGTAGGAGAGGACTGAGTTTATCGGAAGGAAATCCTCATCTGTGATCACATTCGCCGGTTTCCACATATTTAAATTCGCCGGTTCCGGGATCGTTGGATTTTTATATCGCGATGACGAGAGTGTATTGCTGCAAGATTTCGCGTCACCGATTAATCGTCGATTAATCATTTTCCGCTGCGCATCGCGATAGTGCAGAAATCGGCCGACGGCGAGCAACCCAGGCTGGGATAAACAACAGCGAGCTTGAGACGGTGAAGATGCTCGTGCAACTTGAATGAGCTACTAAAAATACACCACCTTTCACGCGGGCGCGCGGGGCCACCTGAATATGTTTTCCCTGTTTTTCTCGCTCGTCCGACCGACCGATTGGTAAGTCCGGATTGGAGCGCAACGGGATCGCAAGATTCCGCAAACGACTCGCTGATAAATCGCATCTGTTCGAAATATTTTCGCGGCGAATTTCCAAAGTAGAGACGATAG